ATTCTTCTTAACTTTCCTTTATGCAATGTCTAAAATCCTAAAAAAAAAAAAAATCATCCCTACCAATTCTGTAACAGCAAAAGGCCAGAAATATTTTGAAAAAAATCAGAGGAAAAAAGTGTAAAATTAATTTTATACAGATTCTGAGACAATTACATGGGAAAAAATCTTACCATCAAAAAATTCAAAGAGATATTTTTAATTCATTGCATAGCTATTTTGCTTTTGATAAGAACCGTTTTGTAAATTGTGTTTTACAATGTTATACCTTGTTCATTTTTCAATTCGAATTATTGCATAACAAGTGACCAAAATGAAATTTTATAATATGAAAGTGATTTTTTTAAAATTTTAATGTTATTTTCTAAATATTATTTCAATATATTACCATTGTTTTAATGAAATTGATCAATGTTACAATGTTTTAGAAACATCGTTGAAAAATTCCCAGATCTTAGAATTAAAAATTTTCTTTAGAAACTGATTTTAAAATCGCCAAAATGTTCTAGTATCATTGTAGATAAGTCGTGAAATTTAGAACCGTTTAATAAAAAAATTCGCATCCCCAAAAACTAAAAGTTCTTTGTTAGAAAAAATGAAATAACTTTGAAATGCTTATGTTTCACTTCTTGCTCAGAAACTCAAGTATCCCACCATTTATATTAGAAATAGGAACAAATTATAATCCATGAACCCATTCAAAACATAACCATATTTATCAGTGAATTACCAAAAATATTCCTCCAAAATGCTAATTCACACTCAAAATCACAGTCGTAAAAACAGATAGAAATTTCCAAAGATTAAAATTAAGGACCTTCTGTTGATTTTGTACCAAAATTAAGGACTAAAGATCGATTTGAAAAAAAACCTAAGTACTTTTAAGGACTGTATGAATCCTGCTAATGCTTCGTTAACATTTCTGTGGACAAATGATCTTACCTTCTATGGTTCTTTTTTCTTAAAAGTTAGCCAGTGTGCTACTAGTATTTGGATTTTGCATGCATTTATTCCAAATTGAATATACATGAGTTTTAAATGCATTATTTTAAAATTTATTTTGCAGTATACATACACATATATACATTCGGCCTTTTCCACTTTTAATTAAAATAAGCAAGTAACATTTATTTTAAAATCTGACAACTGAATTATGAAAAAAACATTGGTGACAATTTTCAGTTGAATTAAGAACAAAATATTAGAATATTTAATTTATATGCATATTACAACAGCAACTTCTCTTTTACATGCAGAAGCAATTATCTTTTTTATGAGTCATTTCTGTTTGTCCATCCTCATAAAACAAGGAGGGGGGAAAAGAAGAATTATAATACAAGAAAAAATGCCTATGCTGGCTTTCTGTGCATTTTTTTTTTTTTTTTTTACTTCTCTTCTACAGAATATCAATGAGATTAGCACTCATGTTTCTGGATAAGCTCATTGTTAAAACTTTTTTCTTTTAAAATCATAGACTCATAAACTTTAAACATGAGATTCTGTTTCTCATGCTTCACTTATCCAAAGTTCAGAGCAACAGCACTGAATTCCAAACAGACAGACATACAGACATCCACATACTAATACATATTACAAATGATCTCTAAAAAATTAGATTCATATGGACTTATTTTAAGCAACTTCACAACAATCAGCTATGTATAAATAATTCTGTATGCTGAAATAATATAATTCAATTCAATTAAAGCTTTCAGATTTTATATTATGCCCCAGAGGGGTGTTTTTTTAACGTTGTATGTGTTACCTGTATTTATTAAAGATCATGTTCTTCACACTTAAACCGTAAAATTCAATTCAACAGTAATATCACAATCACAAAATATTTAAAAGTGCATATCTTAGAATTTCCGATACACAATCTTGCACGCTGGACTTAATTTTTTTTTTTTCTTTTCTGTACAGTGTTGCCATTGCACATTTTGAAATCATCGAGTTTCTTAATCAAAAACTCATAAATACTTTACTAAATATGAACTAGAAAATAAAACAAATTCCAAATTTGGTCTTCTAGATGCCCATATTCAGGTGGAGACATATGCTATTCAAAATGGCTCCAAGTACCGTTGTTTTATCACAGTGCGAGAAACATGCATACATTTATGCAGATTCTTCATTATTTAATTTCTTTAAATATAATACAGGACTCTTATATTTGGTGGCAACAATTTAAAAAGCTATTCGCGGTTAATAGCGAATCAATGCCAAAACGAATCTGGGCAAATAGGATTAATTTTTAAAATAAAGATGATGCCAAATCAAAAGCTCTTTCATGGTATCTTAGTTTGGGTATATGATAAATGCTGGATGATTTCTAATGTATGAAACAGTCACTTGAAATTGTTTGGACCCATCAACCATATGCTCTTCTACATAAGTCACAGCTAGAGATGACAGCTTCGACACACATCTCATGGAAAAAGAAAAACAATCTGAAGCGGATACCACAGTTTCCTCGCATCCCTATTAAATTATACATATTTATTTGCTGCACTTCATTTAAACTTCTTTCAATTCAAAGTAACCTTTTGGCACACCCAACTAATTTCAATAAAAAAGAGAGGTGCACAACTAGATGTTTTAGCACTGCCATATAAAAAATTCAACATTCTATGGCTAACCGTTTATGAGTTACGCAAGATACAAACGTAAAGACACCACGCCGATACTAGTCAAAAATCCTAAATACAAAATTTCAACATTTTACAGTGAGTTTGAGTTTTGAGATATTTTTGAAAGTATAGACCTAATGACGAAACTATTAGAAATGTATTCAGAAACAGTCAAAACTGACATTTCTGTTGAAATCTGACTTTTTTTTTTTACCATTATAATACTATCTTTGTTTTCTTTACAAAGTAATGGAAGCATTTTAATCACAAAAAAAAAAAAAAAAAAAAAAAAAATAAAGTTTAAAAAAATGGAAAAGAATGGACCTTCTTGTTTATCATTCCAGAAGGAATTATTACATAATTTTTGCAAACACTGGAAGTATCAGCAAATAAACTGTTCAAAGACTATCTTTAAAAGTTTGATAATGAGTGGATATCAGCAGTCAACAAATTTACTGTAACTGGAAAAATCCAAAGACTTTCCATTGGAGTGATTTGCTTGTGGATTTTAGTGTATGGGCTCTGATACACGAAGTAGTAGTAGTGAACTCCAGGCAAACAGGGATATCAAATGCTCTTGATAGTTCTGAAGATCAATGTATATGAGAAGACAGACCAAATGGTGATGAATATGATGATAGCTGCGATGACAGCAGTGACCAGCAGCAAACTGCAGTGCATGACACTGACAGCAGTTTTAGCTGCAATTAATCATTTGAGGCCTGGGAAATAGTGGTGGATAGTAATATCAGCAGACAAAATTTAAAATATGGGGAAGCAGAAAAAATATATCTTATCACATATTGTAATATTACTGTGCATTCTTTATGGAATGTACTTTGCTTTTAAATAAATAATACTGTGATAGTTACTGGTAGTTTATCCCTGAATACTTTTAATTTGTTACATTCTTATCATAACTGTATCTTTTGGAAATTTAGTTACTAGTGTAATTTTCCAGTCTTGATTTCTATATGCTCTTATTTTGTTTACAAATTTTCACGTTGCACTGCTCAGATAGGACAATGGTTAGTGCGAGTCTGACTGCATACCGAAGGGTTCAGGTTCAAATCCTGGAGAAAGCATGAATGTAATTTGACCGTTCTTTCATAGGAGGCAAAGATGGCCCACCTCTAAAGTGCCTCCATAATTAAGAAACTATTGCTTTCAGCCCTTTATAGTGGCCAATGCCTGTAAACAGCTACAACTGGAAATTGGAGGGGGGGGATTATTTTGTATGCTGAAATAATACAATTCAATTCCGTTAAAATGAATATCAGATAAAGATGGCATTAAAATAAATTACAAGGTAGTAAACATCAATAATCTTAAATTTTCATTTTCTAATCAATGAGAAACATAAATTTATAAAAATTGAACTAAAGCTCCTTTTTTATCATTGATTAACTAAACAAAATAAAAAGAAATGTCACTGTTTCATTTACATGGAATTAATTCTGAAGTCAAACACTGAACCACTATCGTACTGGCAAACAGAACACTCATAGCTTTACATCAACTTTCATTTATGTGCCATGGTACAACATAATTGCTTTGTTTGAATCCACTATTATGTTTCTGTGGAGTGATTTATACAAAGCGGGTATCTTTTATTATCCATTTATATGAAAAAAATTAAAGCTAGAATCAATTTATTACAATTCGAATATACAGCCCCTTTTGGACCTTTGCAGTTTCTGAAATGTTCAGTTGAAAATGTCCTTCCAGTTCTGGAAAGTACAACTGAATAAATTCCATATTCTTGCCCATTCAACCCAGATATGTCTCATTGATATCACTGAATATTCTGCTTCAGGTATCTAGGATACTGACCAAAGCAAGATATTGTTAACAAAACAACATCATTTATCGAACAGTGTTCCCATAAACAGCAAGTAACACAGAGCATGTTTAGCTTTATCTTAAGAGCAGGAGGAAATTTCAGCGTTTATTGTAAAAATGAAAAATTTTTGTGTATATTTTACGTTTTGATGTGATCAACTACTGTAAGCTTTTTTTTTTTTTTTTGCCATACAATAACAAAACAGTGAAAAAAGTAACAAATACCATTATTTCATAAAAATTATCAGAAATTAATTACAAACTTAATTCTATTGCTCACTTTAAATGTTGCATTAATACTGCAGTTTTATATGCAATGTATACTAATTTGATTAGAGATACATTTATGAAGTTAAAAAATGCTTTCATATTTGCATAATAGAAAAGAACAATATAATGGATTGAAACAGAATATCATTAAGTAGGCCAAATCTTTGCAAATGTAATATCTGAATTGTTTTCCCACAAGAATAATGCATTTATTTTATACATTAAGAATATTCCTGCAATAAATGTAAAGAAAAGAACCTTTTTTTACACTGCAAGACTTCTTTTTGTTCCCTTTTGTCTTCCTTCTTTTCTCCTTCCCTAAAGTAATAACATTTATTAATTCAATAGCTATACAACAGAACAGCACATAGGTGAACAACAAATAACATCATTCAAAATAAGGACTGGCAAAAGCACCATTTTGAACTTACATAATTGTGGTTAATGATACATAAAAGGCAATAAACTGTGTTTATTCATGTATCCCCCCCCAGCTTCCTAGCAAAAGGCACTGAAACTTTTTTAAATAATCATGCAATTTTCCCCTTCTTCAATTCATTCAGAAAGTAAACAACCCTTAAATAAATAAATAAATAAATAAATAAAAAGACCAACTAAAAACTACAGGAGCAATTTTTAAACTAAAGACATTGTCAAAATAAAAATTTCCTAATTGTATCATAGTTTGGGTACATGATAGTGCTGTATTGGTCGTGTCAACTAACGAGAAGCATACAGGGTGATACAGGGTGAAGCATACAACTATCAGTCTGAGAGATGCCAAAAATTTAGTTTTCTAAGAGATAGATCTAGCAGATCACAAAGAGGAAGGCTCATAATGAAAATTAAATTACTCTGTAATAATTAATATATGCTGTGCAAAAAAAGGGGGGACAGTTCTATGTCTCCTATTCTACTGAGCTGAATGACGAAATTCAAATTGCTTTTTCAGATTTCAAAAGCATGACTTAGTACACATAATAAATTTATATATAGCACTGTTCTAATATATGTATTTTGACACCGAAATTTAAGGAGAAATTTAAAACCGAAATTTCACTTTTAAAAGTTTATCTTGGCAGATTATTTTCAGTTTGCGTCAGGAATAATTCACTTGGCGAACTTCTTAATTTATAGCAACCTATTTTCTTTTCTTTTTTTCTCATTGTAAACGAAAGGAAAAAAAGGTCCCGTTCATTACTTTCAAGTAATTTTAACACAGCACGTGAACCACATTTGGCGATATTATTACTTGTAACAAATATGCCAAATTTCCAAGCACGCCAATAGGTAAATTCACATATATCTTAGGAAACTGAGAATTAAAAAAAAAAAAAAAAAAAAAAAAAAAAAAAGTACTATTCCATTTTGAGGACTGTAAAAAATTGCCAAACTATTGTTGATGCCAGTGCTGCCAAAAATAATTACAACAACCCTATAATAGGAAGTAACTATCTAAAGATTATTGTTTTAATTGATATGAAAGGTTAATTTCATATAATACTTTTTTATTATTATAATTTATATAAAAAAAGGCTAAACATAACTGAATGGAAGCATAAGAATAAATAACTATTTCAGATCATTATTATAATTTATATAAAAATTGCTAAACATAACTGAACTGCATCGCTATTTCGTTACCGAGCTATCGTCTAAAGCATAATTTCATCTCGTTGGTTGTTCAAACATAATTTTCCATAATAAATGATGCCTTTTCTTTGAAAAAAATTCTATTGCAGATTTTTTGTCATGGGCAATTCCCATATTGTTAAATCCATAGGATATCAAAAAAAGGATGTAAAATCAAAAAAGAATTTAAAAATTAAACTAGTATTTCAATGGCGTCTTAACAAATATAGAACTATACAACTTACGCAATTTAAAATCAGCGCGTACGCTAGATCTGGCGCACTGTTTAAATGGGCGTGTTTGCTAGATTTGGCGCTTTTGCGCATACATTTTCGCTGCAATTTTTTACAGTCCTCAAAACGGAATAGTAGCAAAAAATCTAATTTTCCACTGGTGTGCCTAGAAATATATTTTAAAATGATAATAAAATTTTATAGGTTATAATACAAATTTTTGTATCAAAATATTTATAAAAAATATTTAAAATAAACATAAAAAAATGCTCGAATTTATTTGATTAAGCTAAATTTGAATTCTCGGAGAAGGACAAAACAAGGTTAATAAAAAAAAGGTATTAATAAATTATATCAATTCATTAACATTGAGGAATTAAAATTTTGAGAGATAATTTTTTTAAAATTACTCGAGCAATTTTTACAAAACTTGGCATTATTTGAGTTGTAGAATCGGAACATGGAAAAAATTGGTATGTCAGAAAAAGTCCAATTTTGTGTCAAAATACCTATATTAGAACAATGCTGTATATAAATCCAATACATATCCTAAGTTGCGCTTTCGAGACATGAAAAACGCAATTGAATTTCGTCAATCGGCCCAGTAGAATCGGAGATATAGAACTGTTTCTGATGCAAAAACAAAGTTTAAAGTTATAGAAAGCATTTAGCAGAAATAACTATCACAGTAGAAACACCCTAAGATTATGTAATATGCAGACATGGATGACAAAAGTTTTAAAATTAACCAATTATTAACAATATATAGAATAAAAAACAATAAATAAATTTGATAAATACCAAGCTTAAAATTAAGATTGTAACATAATCATTGCCAAAAATTGCACTTAGTTAACTATTCATTAAACCCCAAGAGTTTTTCCTTTAAGAATATTACACTGTTAATGATATAACAAACATATTACCTGTTCTATGAATACTGGCATTCAAAAACTTGCAAAAAAACATATCACAGAACAAAAACTACACCATTAAGTTGAATTTCACTATGCTTTTGGCCAAGAAGGCACCTGAAAATTAAACCTTAAATATACTTGTATTTATAGATGCCACTCACCGCAGTTTCTTATGGCATACCTGCCAACCTATGACACTCAAAAATCAGGAGATTTTTCACAATGTTAAAAAGACTTTTTAAATGATAAAAATATGGTTTTTAATAATGAATTAACTTTAATAGTAACTAATTCTTATGCAAGCAACACAAAATCCTACACATAAAAACCTTTTTTATTACTTGCATCTTTACGATTTAAAAAAAAAAAAAAAAAAAAAAAGGGGGAGGGAATTTTAGTTAGAAATTTAGGAAGTTTCTTTCTTAAAGAACTAATTTTGTCACTGCAATTGACACGTATGCCGCTTTCGCTAAGAAAAGTTTTCTAATTAATGTGTCATCACTAATATTAGATCTAAATTTAGTCCTCGTTTTATGCAAACACCCTGAAATCCTCTCACACTCTGCACTACTATGGGGAACTGTCAAGATGGCCAACACAATTCTAGACAGTTTAGCTATATTTTAAAATTCCATCAGCACCTTTCAGTTTTCCAATTAAACAAACTCCACTGGGGTCAATCCTAGCTGATTTTATAACTTCATTCAAGTTTTTTAATTGTAAACTGCTGTTATGCAGCTGTTGGAACTGTTTCAATTTTTCCTTCCTTTTAGAACACCTTTCAAGATAATAAATATCCAACAATGTGTTGATCCACATTTATTGGTAAAGAAGCTGCCCGTTTTTCAGCTTGCTAAATTTAAGAGGTGACAGGTGCAACCTCATAATCTGCACAATCTGAATTTTCCGTTTCTGAAGATGCCTGCAACACCAGTGTTGAAGCCTACCAATACTGGTATATTATCGGCACCAAGTGCTAAGCAATTATCCAGAGGGCCTGCATTTTCTTCTAAAGTTTAATAATTAGCTGTGGTATATTAAAGCCTGTCAAATGTCCTAAAATGGGGGACAGAAGTAACTGCACTCAATTTCTAAGAATCTGGATTAAAAAAAGAAACAACAATTGGATACAGTTTTGAATCGGTATTATTGCTTCTATCCGTAAAGAGGCAGAACGGAGCTGTTTTGTGCAATCAATAACTGAAGATTTATTTTTCAAACTTATTTCTTTAACAATTGCACCTGTTTTGGTTCTTGCACTTGAGTATTTCTTAGCAATTTCACTATCGGGAAACATTTTTCTAAATAAAGCTGCAGCGTGATCCAATGCATTCAGTGGGAGGTTGTGCTCCAGTAAAAAGGCAGAGAACAACATTCTGCATTAATAACTTTTTGTCCTTTGTTTCCGAAGAAAATTTAATTTTTCGTTTTTTAAAAAACACTCATGTTATCCTTGTGTTTTTGTGTTCGCACATGTTTGAGAACATCCGCTCTTCCACATTGCGAATTCGAAAAATCGCAACGACAGGCGGTGCACATCGCAAATTTATTACATTTTCTTGAGGAAATAATGGAACGAAAGTCAACTGTGGACAATTTTTGAAACGTACACGAGTATTTCATTCTCGCAGACATAACAAAAGATGATAATTTCTAAAACTATTTCCCGAAGGCACGTGCACTCACACAACTCAGCACAAATTGAACGAAATAACTAAAGAACATCCAAATAACAGCTTGCTTTGTCCTCATTGGCTAATATATGCCAGATGACACGCAGTGGAGTTCGATGCCCATTGGAAGCTGGAGAACGACGTTCTGGGATACGTATAATGCACTCACTCACAAGCATAAGTTATCTGATTCGTAAGGTTTTGTTTTAGATATTATCTAGAAAAAATTCAATTGCTTTCAGACGTCTAAAATCCCCGCCCCTCTTTTTGTGTGTGTGTGTGTGTGTGTTCATATAACAATGGATTAAGCCAAGTTCCAATAAAACTCGTAAGAAATTTTAAGAATAAGAAAAAGTCGGGAGAAATATATTGTAAATCGGGTTGGCGGGAGATCGGTCGAAAATCGGGAGTCTCCCGCCTAAATCGGGAGAGTTGGCAACTCTGTTATGGGAAACCACAGCTTGAAAAACATTGCCGCTAAACCTTGAAAATCACTTGTGTTAATGATGCCGACCACAGCAGTTGCTCACCAGAAACCACAACTGAAATACAACGCCGCTTTGCAGAATCCTGGAAAACAAACATAGCCTGGAACCACGGCACTGAAGAGCCACTTAAGACTAGACGACAAGTGTCACAAGAACGTCTCCGAATGTGAGCTGGAACAGTATCCAAAGAGCAATGGAAACAGGAACAAGAAGGACTAAGCCAGAGCGATGTGAGATATTTATATACGTAGTAGACATGACGTCATAGCACAGCAGCCAAGCTGTCAGCACGACTCTGCTTTCCAGATGATGTAACCTCGAGTTTTGTTTTTATATATTAATAAGGCTGGAACAGTCTGTTCGTAATACAAACAGTGGCGGTAAAATCAAAGTAGGAAAAATTGCTATATCCCTTAAAATAAAAACTAAACCTCATGTAAGTTAGAATTATTTCAAGAGGAGGAGAGATGATGCAAAAGGAGTTTACAATAAGCCATATTTGCAACAGTCCCCCCCTTTTTTTGTGTGCGGTCTACATAACTTCAGTTATTAGTAGTGCACTTTTAGTGATTTGGTGTGTAGTTTTGTATGCATAATAAACATCCAAAAATATGAATTGTGGATAATTTCATTAAGCAATAGTAAAAGAAAACTAAGTAACATCACAAAGGTAAAGGCTGGATGTCATTCAGTCGCTTGATATTGTTTGGACACATCAGCCAGATGCTCTTCTACATAATTCACAGTTACAGTTGGACTGCTTCACAGGCATCTCATGAAAAATGAAAAATAATTTGATGACACATGTTCCTCATATGCCTATTAAATTATACATATTTTTTACTGCATTTCATTTAAAATTATTTCATTTGAAAGTGAGATACAGTGTTCCAATTGGAAGAGCCCTTTAGGCATAGCTGAATTCAATAGAAAGAATGATGCACAACTAGATGTCATAGCAGTCCCATATATATAACTTTCAACATTCTACAGCTTTTGCAAAAGCACGATTCCAGCACTCTAATAGTTTAATACCTGCATTCTTCAATTTCACACAGAAGCTATGTGCTTATATTGTAATGAAATCAATATCCAATATTCAAACAATGCGGCTAGCATGAACGTATAATATCTACAGCATCTGCAAATATACTTATCTGTTGTTGACCATATTCTGCAGTTTCAATTAGTAACAGAAAATGAAGAATTAGCATATTAAATTGAAATTTGCTTCAAAATAAGTATTTGGATTTCCCATATTGCTTTCATCATTTTCCCATTGTAACACATTCTGAAACTAGCTTTTTCCCTCACCAAATTTAATTACCTTATTAAAAATATGAAGCAATTTTGACAAATAATGATCTCAGAGCCTTTTGATATGAGAACCATTATTACGTATAGCTGCATATACCTTCTCTATGCTTATACTTAGTGCAAACAGGTGGTGAGTAGATATTGTGTATATCTTATAATAGTGATTTCTTCATTCTACTTTGATCAAAACTGGTGAAAGAATAATTAATGTCTTTGAAACCTACATTTTCTCAAGGAAAATGTGTCTATGCATCTAATGCAGGAAAACAAACTTCAATTTACTTATCCTAAACTTTAATATACTTTTCATTTGATGAATATCAGAGGATGCTCAAACCCATCACCAAGAAGAATATACCAGTGCTAACATCCAACAAGTTCAAGATGACCTACTTCTGTAGGGGAAAAAAAGGCTTATAATTTACAAGTGACAAAGTTTTTTCACATGCCAGTTTTATTGGCAAGTGAAGTGCCAACGAAAATATGCTACAAATGCAAAGTTTAGGGAGCTATATCCATCCCTCAAAAATTAAAAAAAAGACACTTTTCAACAAAAATTTAATAAATATATTAAAACAAAAAACTTAGCTTAATTTACTTCTAATATCGTAAATTCTTACTTAAAAAAAAAAAATTACATGTTACTTTTTACGTGGCCATAAATCAGAAACTGCAGCTTACTGCTATTAGGAATGTTCATTGTAAACATCCTTGGAAAAATGCAATAATTTCATTTGCACTTGGTCAATCAAAAATTATTATAACTTTAAAATTAAAAAAAAGAGAGAGAGAGAGAGATCTTGTGAATGTTTGAAAAAAAAAGAAAGAGAGAGAGAGAGAGAGACAGACAGAGATCTCATGAATGTTAAAAAAAAAAAAAAGAGAGAGAGAGAGAGAGAGAGACAGAGATCTTGTGAATGTTTTTTTAAAAAAAATCACCTCGTGATTTATCATTGGCAGCCAGTAAAACCATACTTAAATAAATCAAGCACAGGAGAAACTTGAACTAGTTTTATTTTTGTTTTAATTTATATTCTGTTTCAGGACTTAGGTTTATGCTTGATATTGTTTAATTTTTGTTGCCTTCATGTTAGATAGCATGCTGATTTTAGTAGTTTGATACTCTATTTTGTACATATGTCTGTACATGCATGTATTCATTTCAATCACAGAAGTGTATTTCATTTTCATTTGTAGAATACAGTTTGCACCAAGATTCATGTCATAACGTCAGATTTTAAAGAATTAAAAAGTCACGATTTTCTTGATAAATGTTGCTATACTGCCATCTTATCACTTGGATAAAATTTAACAAGAAAAACTTTTGCTTAAATGCAGTTAAATTTCTTCATTATATACAGTATTTCCCATAACCAAGCATTTAAGGTGTTCTCATCACAGGAAAAAATTTATTTTGGACTAATCAAAGTCACAGTAGCAAAGAATTGCTAGGAGAATAGCACACAAATAGTATGCACCACAAATGGAAAGCATGGTCGCACATTATGCAAATAGCATTAACAGTGCTTGGGATACTGCAGAACTATATATAGGTCATATTATATGAAAAAATGGGAGTTTCTAGGAGGTTTCCAAGCTGCGCAGTAGCACCATTTCAAAAGAACTGCTTTATAATGCATGAATAAGGCTATTGAACTATTTATAATGTGATTTCGAGGTATAATCAGTATTTAATTTGATATTCTAAATTTTATATTTCATTTTCAAACTTTCTTACGCTTGATTTGAAAAAAATCCTGAGAATCAGGTAAAAACTATATTTATCAGTCTTTTAAATATCATGAAAATAAAATTAATGATTAATGTACATACTATTGCATGGAAAAACTTAGTATAATAATATATTATTTACTGTAGACAATTCTGATTAAAGAAAATTTAATAAGAAAAAAACTATGATGAAAATCGCGAAGGATGAGAGAATGGAATTAGCTGAATTTAAGTTTTATTAATCTAACAAATTTCATTTATTGTAGGGAAACATTTTCCTTAGGCTAAAATTTAAAAGAAGAGACTGAGTGATGTGCTGCGAAATGTGGGGGGGGGGGAACCAAAGTTCTAAGTTTGCAATAGATTTTTATATCTGGTTTATCTAATTACCTTACATAGTCACACAATCAGCTTGTGATGCTAAGCTCAAAACCTTTCATTAAAGCTTATATAGTACAAAGTCCGTAATCAGGACTCTGGACTTTGGCGTTCCGATTAAGGTTTTTCCAGATTATGATCATCAATTTAGATCTTGTACGAGGCATGCAGAAATTATACAATTAAAATATAAACTTATTTAGAAAGAAAGACATTATGATCTAAATGGGATCAAATTTACAAAAAAAGCTTATATTATTTGTTTTACTTTATTTAAACATTTCATTCAATGTAAGTTGTTTAATTTTGTTTTTTTTTCTATACTTTCTTTAATTCTATAAAAGACCAAATTTCTTGTTCAGTCCTGTAATTGCTGGTCGAGAATACCGACTACTAAATTGTTCGTTTTCAATAACCTCTGTCATTTTCTTCACTTCGAAGCGGTACATTGAAACTGCTTTCGCTTTGTGATCCTTTGGCTCCATAATCTCTTTTGACATATTGAAGTTCAGCTTACTTTTTATAAGATTGCTCTAACAGTCTGCAAAAAATAATAAGCCGGATCCAATTAGGAGATTCAGGAACAGCGCAATCTGCAAAATTAACTGAAATGCCTTAGAATCGGTAAAGATAATTTTAGCCTACTTATACCATCCATTACACATTAAACACATTATGCACATGTGTAAAGCATACTAAAAAAAAAGGCTGTGGCTGTGACATCTGGATTATAGATCATTCCAGATAATGGACGTCCGGATTACGGACTTTGTACTGTATAAATTCTTTTAACTTACAATAAATTTGAATGCTCAATCAGCAACCCCCCCCCAAAAAAAAAGAGAGAGGGAGAGAAAAAAAAAGAAACTTTCAAGACACAATAAAAAAGAAGCATAGGGAAAATGGCACTGCAACAACAAAAGCTTAGAAAAAATTATTTTGTTAGATGCAGTTTCTCACAGGAATTTTAATACAAAACAGTTTAGGTGAAATGAAATGAAAACATATTAATTTAAATTCATTATTAAATACACAGTCATATAAATAAAGAAATATGGAAAGGACTAAAACATAATGCATGATTTGTAACAGATGTCCTATATATTAAATATTAAAAAAATAGAATTTAAAAAACATATCTAGGTCAAATATGCTAAATTCATTTAAATTTTTACCAAATTCCTGAAAATATTTTGCACAAAATTAATTTTTTCTTGTACATTACTGCACAAAATAGCACAAAAGCCAAAATATGATGAACCCTCTCATGATAAACACCTCTGAAAGACACCATTACTTCTATTAGTATAAAGACATATCAGTACTGAGTATGATCTCTCTAAGCTAACTGTATCCATAGAAAACTGAAATCATCTGGAATGACATGTAGTCATTTATCTTAGAGATGTACTTGAAATCTGAAGCAACACGATTTTATATATCAGCATTTGAGCTCCACTTTTTATAAAATAAGTGAAAGCAAATGCTTTGTTACTAGAAAATAATCCATTAAACATCAAGTTAAAAAAGAAGAGTAATATTAAGTTAAATACATATTAAAATTTTCTGTTTCAGCATAAGTCAAACAAATATAATTCTTAATTACTTATATCCGGAATGTCCTCCAGACGTATTTTTAATCCAGATACTTCCATGTTCTCATACTGAAAAAGAAAGAAAAAAAAATTCAAATATTACTACCAAAAACTTTTGTTTCAGATAAAAATATAATAATGTACAAAAGATTTAAATAAAGAAAATAGATAATTTAAATAAAGATAGCTTTTCAGATTTAAATAAAATTTTAATCATTTTTAAAGTATTTGGTGAAACTCTATATAATTTCAATAACAAGTTTTGTTTCAATAACCTTTTGTTTAACTAGAACAGAAGTTTACCTTACACCACTACTTTTACAAAACATTACATACAGTATTTGCATCTATGTTTGCTAATAAAAGAATAAAAAAGAAGTTTCGCTCTCACCTATGATAACTGTTACTTTTATATCAGCTGTTGTACAGCATAAAACAATTTAGTAATCCTTACACAGGTTGCCATTCAAACAGGAAAATGAAATTCCCTGACATTTCTGAGTGTCTTTTAAGAAAATTTCAGTCTAGACGTGTAGTGCACATAGGCTGTGCTGAGGGTAAATTTATTATGGTATCATTTGAAAACACAATAATTTGCTAATTACATATGACTTTCATTTAGAAAAATGCTTACTTTTGAATGCCCAAAGCATCATTATTATAACTATAATAGGAGTTGTTCTCACAAACTTTCAAATTAAATTTTTGCCAAACTACGTAAATTTGCTATACAATATTTATATACTCAACCAACACTCTCTTCAGCAATCAATTTTATCACAAAATTAGTAAAGTACAAATACATTTACTTTTTAATTAAACAAAAAGACTATATCATACCAGAAGTGACTGATAGTGCATCAGAAATGTTTGCAGTCCTTGATACTGATACGTATTTAAATAAAATGGTGGCACAAATAAAATTAGTTAAAAGTATAATTTTACATGCATAAAAACTTTCATTTACAAAAGAAATTAAATACAATTCATTCCATTTAAGTAATAAATAAAGAAATGAAACTTATTGATTTTTCAGCACTATGTATAAACTTTTAAACATTGGATTTTTTCTACCATTAATGGTGATAAAATTGTATAATGAAAAATAGCTTTATTCTTTTAAAAAGTATTACAAATGAATCCTGGAACAGAAGTAATTGTTTACAAAATGGCAGTGTGGTAGTAGTTATAGCTATCCTATTAAATATACAGGGTGTTTATAAAGTCCTGGACCCATTGTCGGCATCCATAGAGGCTATTGCGGTTGTAATTCTGGCTTTTAGGTCATCAATGTTCGACACTCTCCTCCTGTAAACGTTGTCCTTTACAAATCCCCAAAGGAAAAAGTCCAGCGGCATTATATCAGGTGATCTGGATGGCCAAGGAATTGGACCTCCTCGCCCAATCCATCTTCCTGTAAATGGTCATTCAAAGAACTACAAACGATGGTACCCCAATGAGGTGAGTCAGATTGTAAACTCATAGCTTTTGCAGATGATTTTATGCTAATTGTTAAAGGTAAATCGGGTATTTCTTCTGCGGCTCAAGCTTATCTGGATGTTATAGCAAACTGGGCACGAAGGCATAAAGTGATTATTTCTACCAGTAAAACTCAAGAAATGTTGATAGGGGCATCTAAACCCCTCAAATGCAAACCACCTTTAAAATTGCAAGGCAAATCTATTAAATTTGTAGGAAGCTTGAGATACCTAGGTCTTATTATTGACTTCAATCTTTCTTGGACGACTCACTTGAAGGCAATCAGAACAAAAGTAATGTTACTGACAATTCACATGAAACGAACAACTAGTAAGAATTGGGGAATCTCATTGCGGATTTTAAAAATATGGTACTTAACTGTAATAGAAAGAATAATCTTATATTGTTCAGCAATATGGGCTTACTCTCTTACGACACATGAAAAACGACTCTTAATTTCTATTCAAAGATCTTTTCTTCTAATGATCAGTCGAAGTTACAGAATGTAGTGTTAAGAATATGTAGTGTTAAGAAAGAAAACTTCTCTGCAACAGGAGTGGCTCCTTCCCAACGTAGAGGGAAACAGCTGTGAATGCGCAAAATATACCAAAGCTCAAATCTCGTGTCGACGTTCAAAGGGCACGTTTATCAAGAGTTCATAAAAAGAATATTTATTTAAATTTCTTTAAACTTAAAGGGAAAGAAAAGGTTTTTTCACACAAGTAAATTAATTAATGGATTAGTTATTTTGGGCAAAAGAAAAAGTACAATAATCCAAGTTTAAATTATTGTGAAATGTCAAAGAAGAAACCATTTGTCAAAGAACGTTTCTTCTTAACATGTGTTCCTCAATTTCCTGTACACATCGCGGATGGGAAAATTCTCGCCACTGGTTTGTCGCCAAATCCCTTGGTGAATTTTCCCTCCGCTTTCCAGCAGCGTGATAGCAAACTGGTTTACATTATGTTTATGGAACTCTTTACACAGATGTTCTTTGACCACAGACTGTAACAAGTAGTGGCCTATATATTTGATTAGCATTCTGCGCAAGCAGAGGGAGAAGAATATTCACACCAGAATCATGACTTGGCTTACAGATCAAAGTGTGCTTTATTTTTACCAAACAGAATTCAGATCGCAACATAGCACTACTGACTGACTAACTTTTCTACTTGGTTCAATCAATCATAGACAGTTCAGGAAAAACCTTATAAAAAGACAACTGCTCTTTTCCTTGATCTCACTGCAATCTTCAATAGAGTCTGAAGATGGAAGTTCATCGAGATCATACACAGGGTAGGCATCTCTGGCAATTCCTTACTCTGGATTAATGACATTCTTAGGAAAAGAAAATTCGTTATTAAGGTCGCTGGAAAATTTTCCTAGATGCACAAATCTTGAGCTGGCATCCCACAGGGCTGTCCTTAGCCTCTGTTATTTCTTGTTTATATGAAGACCATTCATAAGTATATCGACAATGACACTAAGATAGCCTGCTATGCCAAGAACATTGTTATTTGGCTCTGATTATCAAGGCTTCCGAGCATGCCTTGTACCTCAGTCTGAATGGCATTGAGGCTTGGGCTAAAAATCTTAAGTTAATGATTAATTCCGAGAAAACCAAACTGTAGATATCCACAACTGATTGAAAAGGCAGACACACTTATCATCCTGCAATCAAGATTTGCAATTCTGGCTATTGAACAAATCACTCTTCCTAAATACCTTGGACTTACACTCGATGCAGAACTGAGATTTACCAGACATCTCAAGGAAATCTCACATCCAGCCTTGAGAAAACTCAGCAACTTAAGAAAACGTTTTGGACATGGGGTTCCAGACCAAAGACACTTCTGCATACTTATACAAGAGTCATAAGACTGTTCCTGGACTACGTTGCACCTAACAGTGCTTCAGCATCTTGTTTAGTAAAGGAAAGGATCAATCCTGTCCAATTTAGAGCCTCCAAGATTATTATTGGAGTTGTCTTGCCCACAAACAACTCAAAGGCTGAGACTGAATGTGGATTAACACAGCTGGAAAACAGAAGGAAACTTGCCACTCTGAAATTTAGGAATAACATCAGGAACAGTGCTGATGAATGTATCTCAAATATTGCCACACAGGCCTGCTTTTGCTAAAAAAATTTTTCTAATGTGTCATTACTAATATTAGATCTAAATTTAGTCCTTGTTTTTGCAACAACATTGAAAATGCTCTTGCACTCTACATTACTATGGGGAATTGTCAAGATGGCCAAATTTTAAAGTACAGATAATTCACTATACTTTAAAATTCCATCAGCACCTTTCAGTTTTACAACTAAATTCTACTGGGCATCAATTCTAGCAGGTTTTATAGCTTTATCTTCGTTTTCTAATTGTAAATTGCAAAACTGCGACTGGAATTTAGTAGCTGCACTATCAACATCGTTTCTCATGGCTAAATGAAATAAAATAGGAAATCTTTAAAAAAAAAATATCTCATATCAGAAAAACATGTATTTGCTAGTGGTGCAGAAACATCTGCAACTTTAGCATATTAATCAATTCATCATTGATTGGAAATTTATGTAGTATGTAATGACATACTCAGCAGAAATAACTTCTAACGTGGAAATAAAATTTATTTTTGCCATCCTCTCAAAGTTCTTTCACTAATTTGTTAGTCGCAGTTCCCACTACCAAATTTTAATCTTTCTTCTGATTTTCTGCTTCATCATAAATCACATCACATAGAATTAGAAGATAAAAGAAAGATTAGTTTTACAAAATTTGATAAAAATAAAACCTGAATTAATAGAATTCTGCTTTGTAGAACTGTGTTAAGAGCATCGAATGATGGCAAATTAATTGTACAAAAAAGGAAAAGCTTTGTTAACGTTCGAGGACAAAAACATAAATACAGTAAAGTCCGAAATCCAGACATCCAATATCCAGAATGATATAAAATCCAAACCTCAAAGCCACAAACAACATTTTTTTTTTGTATGCTTTATGCATGCGCATTTGGTTTTTTCCAGGCACCAAAAAAATACCTTGTTATTGAAGAAGCAATCATTTGAGCATAAATTTGTGAGATCAATAATTTGGCTCCATAGCTGTGTTATCTGCTTGGCATACATCTCAAACTGAAACATTCTATGTACATAGGAACATCATTGATTTTACACCTACTAGTATTTTATATCCCTGATGCCAACTTGGGGAATTATTTTTTATAATATTTGCTTTTATCACTGCATACTTATCAACACGACAACCGGAGTAATGATTCATGCAGCGATGTTTAAAATCTTTTTTATATTAATAATTGTATAAAAAAGAATATGAAAAACTTTTATGCTGACATTACGCTTGACGATGTTTATATATTTAAGTTAAATGTGCTAAGAAATGTTGATGAGGAAAAATTTAACGAAAAATTTCTTTTCATATGGCAAAAATAGATTATGTTAATGAAACTCATGGGCCAAAAGATTACATTTAGTGCTATTTGAATTAAGAACAAGTGATATGTTACTCACGTAAACACAGAACCGGCGTCAGCACTCGTGTGGCTGAACGAGGAGGCAGAATTTAGATATGTTA